CCCCCATAGGCTCTGGCAGTTTTATTTTCCAATTTTGTCATATTGACCACAGCCATACTGTTCCGGATTGTGTTAAAGTAAGTAGCACTATATTATTATGCAAGACTTTTTTCCCATCTCTTTGTGGGTTTAGATACTTTCATTGATGCTGTTGCATGGTTTGTCCTGCAGGAGGCGTCTGTCCACAGTGCAATGGGCATCTCTGGTTATTCTCTTCCTGTCCATGGTAGCCCTTTCAATGGGCACAGGGGGGAGCCAGCATGCCACGGCGGTGCACGGGCTCCACCCCGGCAAAATCTTGGTCTCCTCCAACAGCTGCTTGTCCTACACTCACCTGGAGGAAGAGCGGCTGAACCACAGCGCCTCAGACAGGGGGGGGGCACTGGCTGGGGGCTCGTGGAACGTGACGCTCGTGCATGATCTGCGTTTTGGCCTGGGCCACGTCCTGCTTCTTCTGCAGTGCTTCATCTCCTCCATGGCCAACATCTATAATGAGAAGATCCTCAAGGAAGGCGACCAGCTGGCCGAGAGCATCTTCATCCAGAACAGCAGGCTGTACGTGTTCGGCGTGGTCTTCAACATGCTCTCCCTGACTCTGCACTCCAACTCTCGCTCCATGGTTCTGCACTGCGGCCTTCTTCACGGCCATAACACGTATTCGCTGGCCCTTGCTGTCGTCACGGCGGCCCTGGGCTTATCAGTGGCCTTCATCCTCAAGTTCCGTGACAACATGTTCCACGTGCTGACGAGCCAGGTCACCACTGTCCTTGTCACCACCATCTCGCTGCTGGCCTTCGACTTCCGGCCCTCGCTGGACTTCTTCCTGCAGGCGCCCGTGGTGATGCTGGCCATCTTCATCTATAACAGCAGTCGCGCCCAGGACCCCGAGTTCGCCCTGCAGCAGGAGAAGCTGCGGGTCATCAACGGGGAAATGTCTGAGCGCTTGCGAGGGGTAAGCAGTGCCCCCAGCGGTCCCTTTCTCAGCCACCCGTCTCTCCCCAGTAGTGCTGAAACAGATATTCAAGATATTTGAAAAATTCAAAAATTTGAAAGCATTCAAATATCTGGTTAGTCCCCATCATTGTGCAGTTCATATTCTGACCGCAGCATAGCAGCAGATAAAGCTCTTCTCACAATTAACACGTGCATAACACACGAGTAAAACAGAAAAGATGGCGGGTTTGAGTCAAGTCCTAGAACTGCTCAAAGAGACCCAAAAAGGCTGAGAACTTCAGTAGGTGTAATGTCTAGCGGAAACCAAATATTCGAATGTGAGAACAGCACCCAGCTCTCCTGTGCAGCAAAGGGGAGGATCATAAACGTGATGCTTCATATTAAGATGGAGCAGGTGACTCATTAAGGGTAATTTCGACTATTTTTAGTTGTAGGAAACCTATCAGTCATTCCCCTAGACAATCGAGTTGTTTGTTCTACTGTTCGATCCCAGTTGCAGTTACTGCCATTTGTATTTTTTGTCTGGTGTTTAGCGCTGTGTTTGACTTTATTGTTGCACTTGATGCTGATAAGCAGGTGTTAAGGTTCCAGTCTGTAAGACCTGATTTTAATAATGATGCCTCATAAGAGCATGTGGTTTCATTCTCTTTTTTTTCGTAGGATGGCGAGGAGTTTGTGAGACTCACAAAATCGGACAGCGAGTCAGAGGAGGATTCTCTATGAAAGTCTGGAAGGCTTGTCGGATTCCCTATGTCTGCCCCAGGGACGCTCTGTAAATAGCTTGATGCAACACACGCCTGGTCCCTGTACAGCTGGCACACAGTCCTCTGTTTTTAGGAAGACTCAGCAACTGTGACAACTGTCAGAGTGGACAAATGTATGTCATGTAGATATCAGGTCTGCGGGATGCATGCAGTGCTGTGTGCAGGAGTGGTATTTACTCAGAGGTCCTAACTGTCAGCTGGTTTTGCTGTAGTCTGCTGGGAATCATTTCATTTACAGAAGTTACACATCCCTCGTTCGAAGGTATTTCTGTGCTATTAGTGATGCTTTAGTACCAGAAAAGCATTACGTTGCAATTTTATAATGACTCTTTGATAAGCATTTCTGCAGAAGATGCCAAATAATGTCTCTCTTCCCACCCGTGTGTGTTTTTCTTAACTTGATCAGCTTATAATGACTTTTAAAGTGTCTGATTTACAGTTTTACTGAAATCCTTATTTCCTTAAAGGGTATTAAAAGGGACTGACTTGTGTTTGTCAAGGAATTACATCACCATGATTAAATAATATACACAATTTCAGTGCATTGTGCTGTGATATGATATCTCTAAATTTGAGTCTGAAGGATATTTTGTCCATTTTAATTTATAATCTTTTGAGAAACACCATTCTGCGTCAAACAAGCTGAGTACAAGACCTCTTGTACTTGAATAATGTTTATCCTCATAAGTGCAGCACTTTTGTTTGTGTTGACAGGAGGCATGACATTAATGTGATGAATAATATTTTGGTGTTTTGGTCTTATTTTGTTCCTATTTTCTTTGCAATGTATGATTTTTGTACAATATTGAACTGTAAAAAATTAAAATGAATAATTCAACTTTACCTTCAACTTGCATGCTTCCTCATTATTCCCTTATGCCATTTTGCACATCGAAGTCCAAGGATAGAATGTTCACTTCCACGGTAACACGGGAAGTGTTGAAGCTACGCTTAGGCCATGCAGGTAGTTCTCGCGTTCCGTGCTCCTGATTTACGAGTTTATATCTTTACGATAATTTTCTGTGACAAAAACCTCCCAATTAATGAGCGATAATTTAGAACGAATTAGCTCGTAAAGTCGAGATCTACCTGTATTTTGTCAATGATAAGCACTTGCACGCCACAGAATTTTCCAGTAGAGGGCGACAAATCCACAAACTTCAGCAGCTGGCTTGGTACCTTGCGTTAGTTACCTGTTATTACTGTTAAGTTAAAATCTATGCTTCTTCACCCGACGACAACTTACATAGCAAACTGATTATAATCATTTTTCAGAACTTTGATATATTCAACTCCCCAAGACAATAATGTTGCAAATAACTTATTTACACAAATTACAGCTATTCAAACAGGAGGAACAAAGGTAAAAAATCGTCCTCTCAGGTTGCTTGTGGTTAGACAGAAACATATGCAAAAAAAGTTCAATACACTTTATTTCTCTTATAGCCCAGCTGAATATAAATAATGACCAGTAAAAGCAATCTTCAAAAAAAATAAGAGTATCTTTCACGTTTATTCTCAACAACGCTAGATATGATTACTAAATTCTATGTCTTAAATTGAGCAGATATCCAATAAATACAAACGGGATTTTTAATTTTTTTTTAAAAAAAAAGGTATCTATACAAGTTTCCTTATCTACAGTAAAAATACTCCTCTGTTTAGGTGCAAGTGTGAAATGTGTCGTTCAAACATCTGACTGCTGGCTGGAGCTACTTAAAATAACAGTGAAGAAGAGGCACTTCATCCCTGTACATGTCTTCAGTGAAATATACAAAAAAGTACTGTGGTCAGCGGTTGCACTGCTCTGCTTAGTAACCATAGCCTTGATTATAGCCATGCTGGTAGCCATCTTGGTAGCCATGCTGATGGTAGCCATAGCCACCATACTCATCCTCGGGGCAGCGCATGCCCAGAGACTGCTGGATGGCCATCTCCTGTCTACGCAGCTGCATGGAGTCGATCAGGTCATAGATGATGGCCATAGACCACATCGGAGAGGGGTACCAGGACTTCACATTGCCGTCCTTCCCCACCAGGAGCATGGAGAAGTATTCTGGGCTTATCTGGAAGTAGTTCCTGATGTCCTTCACCAGGGAAGCGGACAGCCCCTCGCGCTCCACGGTTGCGCTTCCTGTGAAAACAAACATGCTGAGGAACCTGTGTTCTACCGCCAAGATGATGTTCTGTGGAACCAGTGAGATGTTTGGGGAGAATGTTGCTCTTAGGCTCCCACCTGGTATACTTCCATCCAAAACTCTCCAAAACTTTTTGCATCCTAGAACTATTTCATTTAAAGGGACGAGAATACACTAGTTACGTCAGCTTTAATGAAGCCCGGATAACCAGCCTTTGACTTAATGGCGTGATTGTTACTGGTTACCCCTCCTCATTTACGCTCCTTCACTTCACCCACTGCTGAACTGGACAGGCGCTAAAATGACTGCGGTCGGGTCCTTTTCAGAAAGTATGTTAACTCTCTGTTTTTCCCCCTTTGCAAAATATTATTTCTGCCTGTGCTCTCCCAGATGAACATCCGGCCTTATGGTTAAACTTCCCAGAATGAGGCTGTTTACCTGCCTGAGGTGAGGGCCAGAGCAGCCCACCTGCCCCGTGGATGGGGGTGGCTGCAGAGGGCATTTTCAGATCTGATCTGTGTTTTTGTGCTATTTTGTGTTTAGCAGTAGGTGATGTACAGTAAGACCTTCACTGCACAGTTCACTGTGCATATGACAGATACACTCGCTTACCGTTAATGGGGTAGAGCTCCAGAACGCCACCCGTGTCCAGAGGATCTACGCCTAGCAGCTTCAGAATGGACACATGACGCAGGCCTGGGCGGGGGGGGGGCAGCCAGTCAGTGCCACAAAGACCGCTACGTGCCATCAAACTGTTATCAGCCAGCTTTCATTGCTTAAATAAAATGTAGAGTTTCAGTGAAAACAACAGATGTTCTGCTGAGGATTGAGCCTTCAGGTTATCGGTGCTTGTCGCATTTCTACCTTACATGCCAACTACTGAAGCTGAACTTTAGGCTGTGCAGGGTTGCTCCACTTGTCATGCGATATGCCGGTAACCAGGAATGTCTGTCGGAGTGCCACCCCCCCCCCCCCCCGCATTATTTGGACCTTGAAGCCCCGAAGTCGATCTCCCGCTTGCTCAATCTCTGGGTGGCACTGGGCCACAATCCTGATAAATTGCTAAGAAGGCTATCAAAGGTCTTAGACTCTACATTTTTGAGAAGGAGCTACAAAGGAATTCGGCAATTTTATAAGAGTGACTGGGCTGGCCTTGTTCACCTATCCTTGTATCGCATGAAAAAATGCAAGAGTGTAAAACGATCCAGTGCAATTATTTATGCACATGAAACTATGTTACAAACACGTTCCTTTTGACAAAGGAATTAGATGTTTCTACTGCAAGACACCTGAAAGTAAAATGTGGGTTACATCACCCTGTTCTAATGAGCAACCAAGGCCACTGCTTTTGGACTGTGAATGCAAGCGCTCGCTCCAAAAGCCCAACTCTCTAAGACATCTGCAGCAGAGAGTCAACACACTGCAAGAGGCTGGGAGGTTATTTTTTATGTAAATGTGGATGCGTGTACATGAACAGCCTCCATTCTGGATGATAAACACCAGACTTCCAGGACAGAGCCTGGGATTTTATGATTGTTTGCCACTGCTTTTGCTCAACCAACGATCACCTAGAAAGTTCAATTGGAAACCAAAAAAACGAAGAACTCGAACCAAATGTCCAATCGCAGTCTTCATCTGCTGGAGTCACAAACGTGATTGGCTGATGTTACACTCACCCAGGTTGCATGCCTGGCTGTTTAGAGCATACAGCTGCTGTTGATAGGCCCATTCCTCATCGCTGGGTGCGGAGATAACGAACAGCCGTCGTCTCCAGCGGAACCTAGAATCGGATGAACGGTCCAGTCAGAACCTCAGAACCCCAAATCCTGGCATTGTAAAAAACTTATAAGGCATGTCATAAGCTGCAGAAGATTTACCCAGATAAATACCAGGTCTGTATGGTAATTCTAAGAGTCGACAACACAGAGAGGACACATGATCGATGTCTGGATAGCCATCTGAGATGCCAGCATCTACACTGCGTTTTGAATTTCACGTGGCTATTTCTCTCTCTTTTGATGGACCTTGACTCGTTTTTATCTCCCTTCTGCTCGCCCACACACTTTCATCCTCTCATCATCCTTGTCGTCCTTCAGAACACTGACATTCATCACGGAGGAATGCGTAACCATGGCGATTGGCCCGTTCGTTCTCGATTAGTTTCTGGCTATGCAGCGCAATCTGGTTGCCCAGCAGCAGGACGTGGGCATTCTGCAAATGTTGTCGATCAATTATGTCATCTTTAATAATCACAGCTAACTAAATGCAGCATATATTTCAGTTTAATCACAGGACCCATGATTACAAACTTCATTAAATTTTTGTGCCCATTATGTACATGGTAGGGGGGCAACCTGCCGCACATCTGGGGCATGGATCTGAACCTACCTTGACAGGAAATTCTCCAAGGATCTGGGCTTGTCCTCTTTCTTGCATGTCACACCTTCCCTCTTTTGCTGTTCCATTTCTTTGATGCGCGATGTAAAGGTGTCGATGTAGTTAAGCACAGTCTTCATGCCAATGGGCGCCTCGTAGAATTGCTGGGGACAGCGAATGAGGGAGAAGGTCTCTTGAATCACTCTGCATGGCCTCCTAAACCCATCTGGACAGCAGGCCTGAAGAGCAGCAGCTCAATGCTCCACCCTCGAGAAGATCACAAATTTACTAAGCAGATACTCTGCCTCACATGTGTGTCTAAGAGTCGAAGAGTGGAACCACGTGTGTTGTACTATTAAAGAGCAAAAGTATTACTAAAGGCACCGATTTCAGCTTAAAAAAAAAAAGATATTTATCAGTTACTACAAAGCTTACACATAGGGAATTTTACTCACTTATCTTCAAAAATAATCCTTCAAAGATTCATGATGATTCCAAAACCACCTTCCTGAAGCCAAAGCTAATATTTAATACGTTTTTAGATGTTCCTTTCCTGATCATTCCTGACTGAAGTGGTCACCTTGGTCATTTCAGTGCATGTGAGAAGCCCAGCTCTTTGTACAATAAGCAGCTAGAAGGTCCGTCTGCGGGATGGAGGAGGCCTTATTAAACTATTGGGTCTCTGTCAGCACGGCGGTGCACCGTGGCCTCTTTGTGAAAAGCCCCGAGCAGCCAAACATGCTGTCATTGGCTCATGCTGAACACCATCAGCCTTTGAGGTGCATGAAGGAGAGGCGATAGTTACATTACAGTCATATGTACTCAGAAGACACAGTTGGAGTATACGGCACCAGCTTATTGGAGGTGTGGGTCGGCCCCAGATGCTAGAGATGCAGGCTTCATCTCCTGTGACATTCTGAGGAGGGGGTACTGACCTTCACCGTCATGTCAAAGTCAGTGAGAACCATAAAGAAGGCGTCGTGCGTCATCCCAAACTCCTTCCGCAGATCTATGATGAGGTCCTGGTTTACGAGGTCGTCTTGACCAAGTCCCTTCATCGGCCTGTCGTGCTCTGGAAGGGGGAGGAGAGCTCAGTTAAACACGAGCATGCAGGACGCCAGCAGACAAAGCTGCCCTGTATTACTGCCAGAGACGTTTCAGGTGAGCCGACACCTTAAGGGCACAGTGCAGCCTCTGAGGCATGTGTCTGCACAACCCGCACTCAGCTATTTTTTTTTTCCTACATAAAAACACGTAATAACTTTCTCTGCAATTTGGCAGCTCAGGCTCAGCTACCGCCTCCTAATCCCTATTTGGCATATGAAGAACACCGTTT